CTCCAACAAAGGGTTTTTTTTAAGGTTTTTTTTTTTTAAGATTTATTAATTTATTTGTACAAGCACTGGGTACAGTCAGAAGCGCGGGAGGGTGAGAGAATTCACCAGAGCAGGGAGCAGAGCAGGCAGAAGGACCGAAGCACACCACTGAGGGAGCAGCGGGCGGCAGGAGAGGTCTGCGCACCATGTGAGGGTGAGAGAATTCACCAGAGCAGGGAGCAGAGCAGGCAGAAGGACCGAAGCACACCACTGAGGGGAGCAGCGGGCGGCAGGAGAGGTCTGCGCACCATGTGAGACCCTCCTCCGGTGGCCGGGGAGCAGCCGGGGATCGAACTGGAGCTGCAGAGGCTGCGGGCAGCTTCTCAACCCAGCGCTCAACCGCTGTGCCACCGGGGAGGCCCTCCAACAAAGGGTTTTAATGTAGTTTTTATTTTGCACTCATGCTGTTGTTATATGTAATTGACCATGATGCTAAATAAATGTCTTGTAAAAAAGAGAGACTGCTCCTACTGGTTCTTGTGTAAGGAAAGATTTTTTTTTTTTTTAATATCCTAGCATTTCTGCCTTCATAAGCTGATGCAGCAGTAAATCCTAAACTTGAAGCCCTCTTCAAATTTGTGGAAGGGGAGTATTTAAAAAAATTTTTTTAAATTTAATTTAATTTTTATTTTTATATTCCCCATACAATTGCAACCCCGATTTTGACCACAATCCCTCCTTCCCCCTCAAAAGAGTGTCTCTGGTTCATAGTTGTTTGTTGATTTTGAGTTTTTTCTTTCTTATATTTATTCTTTTTCATGGTCCATATTTAGGTTTTCTAGATTCCTGTTACGAGTGAGACCATCCAGTATTTTTCTTTTTCTTTCTAGCTTATTTCACTGAGCATGATCCCTTCCAGCTCCATCCATGTTGCTGCAAATTGCATGTGTTTATCTTTTTTGAATGCTGAGTAATATTCCATGGTGTATATGTACCACATCTTCTTGATCTGGTCATTTATTTTTGGGCATTTGGGTTGTTTCCAAAGCTTAGCTATTGTAAATTGTGCTGCTATAAACATAGGAGTGCAGGTGCTCTTTGGAATTGATATTTCTGTGTCCTTTGGGTATATACCTAGGAATGGAATTGTTGGATCATATGGAAGCTCTATCTTTAGTAGGTTGAGGAATCTCTACACAGCTTTCCATAGTGGTTGGACCAGTTTGCACTCCCACCAGCAGTGCAGGAGAGTTCCTTTCTCTCCACATCTTCACCAACATTTGTTGTTGCTAGTTTTTTTAATATGTGCCATTCTCACTGGTGTGAGATGGTATCTCATTGTAGTTTTGATTTGCATTTCCCTGATTGCAAGTGACATTGAACATTTTTTCATATGCCTGGTGGCCATTTGTATTTCCTCTTCAGAGAAGTTTCTTTTTAGCTCTTCTGCCCATTTTTTGACTGGATTATTTTCTTTGTTCTTGTTGAGTCTCATCAGCTCTTTGTAGATTTTTGTGATCAGTCCCTTATCATTAGTGTTGTGTGCAAAAATGTTCTCCCAGTTGGTGGGGTTTCTCTTTGTTTTTGTTATTGTCTCTTTTGCTGTGCAGAAGCTCTTTAATTTGATATAGTCCCAGCTGTTTATCTTTGCCTTCAATATCACTACTTTGGGTGATGCGTCTGTAAAGATGTCTTTGAGGTGCATGTCATGTAGTGTTTCACCTATATTTCCTTCTATATATTTTATGGTTTCAGGTCTTATGTCTAGTTCTTTAATCCATTTTGAGTTAGTTTTTGTGCATGGTGTAAGGTAGTATTCAAGCTTCATTCTTTTGCATGTAGCGACCCAGTTTTCCCAGCACCATTTATTGAACAAACTTTCTTTGCTCCAATGCATATTCTTTGCTCCTTTGTCAAAGATTAGTTGACCATAGATCTGTGGGTTTATTTCTGGGTTTTCTATTTGGTTCCATTGGTCCATGTGTCTGTTCTGGTTCCAATACCATGCAGTTTTGATTATTATGGCTTTGTAGTATAGTTTGAAATCTGGAAGAGTGATGCCTCCATTCCAGGAGAGTATTTTTTTAAAGAATTTTAATTTTTTAATTTTCTTACATCCTTGTTCATTTTTGTACAACATTTGATTTCTCCCCTTATGTGTTGTCCCTATAATTCTCCCACCACCACAGCACCCATGATCATCACCACAGTCCCTTGTGCTCTTGGAAGGAGAGCATTTAAATGGTCATTGTTGAGACTACTTAGAGTAGTGGAGAGGGTGGGCTCTCCAGTCAGACTTCAGGCCTTGTGTCTTATTTATTATATGATATTGACCCAATTACCTAATCTCTTTTGCCTCAGTTGCTTCTGTAAAATAGGAGAAACATTGGGTTTATGAGGATAGTTATGTAAAAGTACTTGAGAGCAATTGCCTGGCACAGCATGTGAACTAAGTATCTATTGTTAAAACAATTCTGTTGGAAACAAATTTTCTTGGGCCGCCCTGGTGGGGCAAGGGGTTAAGCACCGTACTATGAAGCAATCTGAAGCCTCTGCAGCACAAGTTCGATCCCTGGCTGGCCAGGGAGCAACCCACATGGCACAGCAGACCTCTCCTGACTCGCCCACTGCTCCCCTCAGCAGTGTCTTTGGTCCGTGTGTCTGTTCTGCTTCCCCCCTCTCTGGTGAATTCTCTCACCCTCCTGTGCCTCTGACCTGTAACCCAGTTCTTGTATAAATAAATAAAAATCTTAAAAAACAAAACAAAACAAATTTTCTTTCTGATAAACTCAACACCTCCACTGATTAAAACCCTTGGAAATACTTTAGATCACATTTTCCAACCAGAAACAAAATTTCACATTACATCTAAGGCTAGCTCTGAGAATTCTCAGGTGATCTGTAATACAGAGTAGAATCTTACTAAGGAAGAAATAATAAGGTGGACTATTAGGAAAAAGTTAGGGATTAGGGCCAGAGAATCAAGAATATGTGCAATTTACTAAAAGAACAATTGTATAGTCCAAATAAAGATGTTTCTCCATCAAAAAAAATACATAGAGAGGGCCTCCCTAGTGGCGTAGGGGTTAAAGTCTCAGTGCTTATCAAGTTACCGCCTGCCACTGCAGGATGAGTTCAATCCCTGCCAGGGAGCTACCCACATGGTGCAGCAGACCTCTCCTGTCTTGCCCACTGCTCCCCTCAGCAGTGTATTTTAGTATATCTGCTTGTTCTGCTCCCCACTCTGCCTCTAGTGAATCTTCACCCCCTTGCACTTCTGGCCTAGACCCAAGTTCTTGTATGCATAAATAAAAATAAATCTATAAAAAATAATAAATACATAGAGATAATAGGGTTTAAAATTAATAAAATGTAAATCCAATCTAAACAGCAATTTATTCTCATTTCCATAAAATGATAGTGATTGATTAGGACAAACACATTTTAATAAAGGTACCCAAGAGGATCAATGAGGCAGTAACATCCATGTATGATAATCAACCTTACAAGTATGAAAGATCACACTTCTTTTCCACCAAAGAGATCATTCTGACACTAAAAAGGTCATGAATATGTTTGCGATGAGAGCCTTACCAAGTCATGAGCACAACACACATGCTTTGAAATTGGCAATTAACATTCTTGAAATCAATGGCTTAACAAGTTATAAATGATTTCTGCTTAAAGTATAATTCTTTGCTTGATTAAAATTACATCCAGTCCATAGAAGTTGAATGCATACCACACATTAATAGTCAAGACAGTTCAGCTGTTTTTCTGAAGTATGTTTCAGAGTTAACATATAACCCGTATATAACAATATTGCTGTGTTTTTAGTCATTTTATATTTAAGGGTCCAAAATAGATTATGTTCACAAAATAACACTGTGTCAATCATTTTCTTATTTATATCCTTCAAAAACACTCTACTCTGGTCATACACACTAATCTACGTCACTGGAAATAACAAAAGATGATAATTCAGAGTCTCACCTCCACATAGTTCTAACTGCCCAAGAAACCTGCAGGTCCAGTTCTTACCCTTTAAAAATGAGCAAAAATGTTCCAAAGCAGTCACTGTAGCCATGTGTTTGGGATTTGTATTTGTAGCATTAGACTTACGGCCTAAAAATGGCCATTCATGTTATAGTAATCTAAGTCCCATATCAAAAATAAAAAGCAAAAGGAATTGAAATTATTTTGCAATTCCAATAGCAGACTTGAAAAAACTGAACAGTCGTACATAACTCCTACATTTCTCTTTAACTCTGAGAGCACTGCCACATTAACAGGTGTGAGGCAGCCATCTACATATTAGTGTGTGATTAATCAGAGTGCACTTATGACTGTGAACTTGGGTCCTATGCCATATTATTAATTCTTGCCTTTCCCCCAAAGAACCACTAGCTCTTGAAGTAATAGGCTTTTAAGGCACATTTAACAAAATCCCATCATATACCCAGCTTAAAAATGGAAGCTCCACCTGGTTACAATATACATACCTAAGTGATGTGTGGTTTACCAGATAGACAAGTGTCTCTATCTTGAAGATAAAGTCACATTAGAAAAGTGATTCTTTATTTTCTTATTCAAAAAGAAACATTGTGTAAAAATATTAGAGAATTAGATTTGTAAGAATAACCCACATGTACCTGGCCTGTTGGCAAAGGTCCAACAAGGTATAGGTCTGAAAGTTAGGGAAAAGACTTCCTTGGAACCCTGGGTTCCTACTTCCCAGGTTTCTGAGGAGGAATCATGAGGCAGGGATTTAGTGTGTCTTAATGTTATTTAGAAATCTCCTTCCAAAATGCACAGACTCAATCAGCTACTAACTAAAACTGCAGCTACAAACCTCAAAGGACTCCTCAGGGGGAGGAGAGGACAGAGAAGCCACAGAAAGAAGTGGGATAGTTTCAAGGACAGGACAAATTGTTTTAGGAAGTTGATATATTTTGATAAGACCAACTTTGGTGTCCCGATGAGGCTCTGCTTAAAAAAACTTTTTTTCTTAACACCCGCAGATATGCTTTAGGGCACTGACCCTTAGGATGGACATAGAATTATCTGCTTGGAATGGTTTGGTGTGCAGTTGATTTAGGACTTCCTGATCATCTAAGGTAAACATAAGTGGAAGAATTTATGGAAACAAATACACAGCTAACTGTAATGCCTCCTCTGGTCACCTGCTCCTCACTGATCGGGGGTTTCAGCAGGGCTTTTCAGCTGCACAGAGTATGCTGCTGGCAAGCTGAGCTCCAGTTCAAACATAAGGCTGGAATAGGCAAAGTCCATAAGACAAGCTGTCACTGATGAGGAGACTCACAGGTGACAAGCGTGCTCACCAGGAATAAGCTCTGTGGTTGAGACTTGAGACATTCTCTTGTGGTCATGGAGCAATAAGAAAACCTGGCCCTAAATAAACATTTTAAATGTTGTACAACAATAAGTCCATTTCACAGGGGCCAAAAATAGAATCATGTATGTATTTTTAAATCTGCAGTTGCCAATCACATGTATTTCAGAAACCACGTGACCTCTGACCTTACTTTAGTTCCAAGATACAGGAAAGTCTCCAGAAACCCTGAAATTCAGCAACATTCTTATTTCTTTTTAGTGACCGGCACCATTTTGGAAGTCTGGTCCCAAAGATTCTAAAGAACAGATATGCAGCAAAAAGAAATAACCTCTCTGTATAAAATGATTATAGAGATGTATGTTGAGGTAAAGAGCTTTGTAAGAACTGTTGAGTAGGGAAGCACTGCCATGGTTACAGAAATTTTTAGGTAAGTTTGGTGCTAATATTATTCTACAAAACTGCTGTTTATACCAGTGATAAATGAGGGCGTTTTTATTGCTCCTGGAGCGTGATGCCCCAGTCTGTTCCAGCTCCACTGAAAAATGATTTTTCTCAACAACTGGTAGCAAAGATACCCAAATTTATAAAAAGTCACTGCCAATGCATCTCTTTTTGATGAATTTTCTGATTGCCATTGAGTGGACGATATAATATGCATGTCCTGAACACCAAGTACAGAAAAAAGCTTAGAAAATTCTTTTATCAAAGTTTCAGTTCAATGAGAAAAAAACATGAAAAAGTGCAAAATATATACATTTCCTGGCAGTTCTTACACAGGATTTTGTGGCGACAGATCATAAAAGTTTACATTTGTGTAATGAAATTACAGTGGATTTCACGTCATTGTTAATATACAAGTTTTTGCTTCAAAGTGCTTACTTTATTGAAAAAAGAGACGATCAAGAGGGTTGCAGGATTTTTTGTTTAAACAACAATTCCATGGCATGTGTTCCAATCTCCTTTTTCCTTCTTCCTTTAGTGCAACACAGCGTAGCAGCCTCACTGAAAGGTCTGATTTCAAGAGACATTCCTGGAACCTCACCTACAGCAGCACTCTAGGGGTCCCGTTGGGAGTAGCTCCTTTTTTTTTCTGTAGACGATTCTGAACCTTTCGAGATTTTACCACTTTCATTCTCACCTCAAAAACTTCATGAATGGCCTTCCGGAAGCAATGAAAATTATAATCAATAAGCCCTGGAGAAGAGAAAAAATGTTTAGCAATGTCACATAGGAAAAAATCTCCATCTTTCCATGACTCCAGGGTCAGGACAAGCAAGTAGGTGTGAATAGAGGAGTAGCTTTAACCTAAGGCCATAGACCTCCCTAGGAGGTCTGCAGCTGAGCTACTGGAAACCTCCAAAATTGCAGAGATCAATTAATAAATATTAACTGAAAATTTATTCTAGATAACTCATTTTCATATGCTCTGAGGACAGCAAAGTGCTTGATTTTAGAATAACAGTCATCTCATCAATTCTAAGTTCACAAATTCAACAACCAATGACATTCTCAATTTTTCAATGTTAGGTTCTCAATGTTCTAATATTAAGTTCTAAATGGAAAAATAATAGGGGAGGGCCTCCCTGGTGGCGCAGCGGTTGAGCGCTGGGTTGCGAAGCTGCCCGCAGCCTCTGCAGCGCCGGTTCGATTCCCGGGTGCTCCCCGGCCACCAGAGGAGGGTCCCACATGGTGCGCAGACCTCTCCTGCCGCCCGCTGCTCCCCTCAGCAGTGCACTTCGGTCCTTCTGCCTGTTCTGCTCCCCGCTCTGGCTCTGGTGAATTCTCTCACCCTCCCGCGCTTCTGACTGTACCCAGTGCATGTATAAACAAAACAAAACAAAAAAAGAACAAACAAATAAATAAATAAATAAAACATGCCTCTATAAAAAGAAAAAAAAAAAATTAAAAAAAAAAAGAAAAATAATAGGGGAGAATCATCTTGTGTTTTCACAAATTAATTAGTAGTAAAAATAGAATAAAAAATCACCCAGTCTTGAGCACATTTTCATCATTATCATTAATTTGTAAAATTGTTAAGAATAACATTACTTTTATAAGATAAGGCAGTTGGTTACATTTACTATCTTTAAATTTATTAAAATAACTAGCCCAACGAGTATTTTGGATATTTCCAGAGCCCCAAACAAAACAAAGAAAAAAAAATTGGGATTTTAGCCAACGAGTGATGTTCTTTAAAGTAGTCATATAAACAAAAGCAAATGCAATGGAGGGAAACACCAGGTCCACCTCCAGTAGCACCAAACCCATCTGTGTGGCGCCCTCTGCTGTTTCTACAGTGCAGGAGACCTCAAGAGCAGTAAAACTAGGCCGTTTCCTTCTGGGAAAAGAGCAATGAGGCAACAAGGGTACAGTAACACGAAAAAAGCAAGAAGCAAAGATGATTTTGTTTACTTAGTGGGATTTTGGATATGAGATGTGCAAACCAGCTCACCATTCTCTGCCTAAAATATATTGAACCAGGGCCTCCCTGGTGGTGCAAGGGATTAAGCACAGCACTGTGAAGGTATCCACAGCCTCTGCTGCACCAGTTCAATCACCAGCCGCAAGGGAGCCATCCACATGGTGCAGCTGACCTCTCCTGACTGGCCCACTGCTCTCCTCAGCAGTGTATTTCAGACAATCTGCCTGTTCTGTTCCCCACTCTGTCTCTGGTGAATCCTCTCACCTCCCATACCTTTGGCTTGTACTCCAGTTCTTGTATGCATAAATAAATAAATATAAGCCAACTGCCTTAAGAAGTAGTTGGGCTCACTGAAAAGGTACAACTCAACTTGGGGAATTTCAAAGACATCCTGTTGACAGTTCTCTACAATTTTCAATGTATTTATTTTAGCACATTTTAAAATATTACAATATTGCTGCATTGGGAGTCTTAAAAAGTAAAAAATCAGAAGTCAGATTTTTTTTTTTAGGGAAGTAAGCATTCCTACAAAGCGTTTGCTATTTATTTCAACCTTTTCATTAAAGGAAATTGAAAATACAAGAACAGAGACATGAACAAATAGGCACTACCTTCACCACCATAGTTTCGTGATGGTATGACATCCTTCTCTGTTCAGTGGCTCTCAATCTTGGCTGCATTTAAAAACACCCAGGAGAGGCCTCCGTGGTGGTGCAAGGGGTTAAGACACAGCACTAATGAAGCTATCCTCAGCCACTGCAGCATGAATTTGATCCCCAGCTAGGCAGGTGACCCACATGGAGCAGCAGACCTCTCCTGACTCTCACGCAGCTCCCCTCAGCAGCATATTTCAATAGATCTGCCTGTTCTGCTCCCCACTCTATCTCTGGGGAATCATCTCATCCCCTGCATCTTGGCCTGCACCCCAGGTCTTGTATGCATAAATAAATAAATCTTTAAAAAAATAAAAACACCCAGGAGCTTTTAATTAACTTTTTTATATTAATTAATTTTTAGTTAACTTTTAATTAAAAAATTAACAGGCTCCTGGTTCCTTGCCTAGGGTGCAATATCTGTATTTTTTTAACCACCCAGGTTACAAAGTAGGTGCAGGGTTGGCTGCACATTGTAAGTACCTAGGAAACATGCCTATAATATGTTGTCAAGACTGAGGACCCTGCTTGAAAACGGTGTGTATTTTCAGTTCTCTCCTTTCTCCCAAAGCAGCCACAGAAGCCATCAATAAAGATGCGGAAGACGATGAATAAGAGGGAAAGCTAATTAAGTGATGGTTATCCGCATCAACAGAACTCAACAACATGAGATCAAAGCAACAAAAACAAATCAAGCTACCCCATATATTTATAAGCATTAAGTTCCTTTTAAAGACAACTACCTGTTAGGATGACTAATTCATCCTGTTTGTCTGAGACTGTCCCAGCCTCAGCACTGAGGTCTCCTGTCCCAGTACCCACTTCCGCACCACTCTGTCCTGGCCAAATGGAGATAGTTTGTCACAAAAAAGCACACATATTTAAATAAGATGGAGTCAAACAGCACCTGCTAACTTACTCACATTCCTTAGTTATGACACTAATACATAGGTTTCTAGTTAGTTAAAACTATAAAATCTGCCTATCCTAAGAGAGGTGGCTTATCAATAACTTACTAAAGAATTTATCCAAAAGCAGGATAAATTCCTGCTTACATTTATTTCCCCAAGCAGAGATGGATGTTAAAATCTAACAGAATCACTAAACTGACATGGGGGCCTCCCCGGTGGCACAGCGGTTGAGCGCTGGGTTGCGAAGCTGCTCGCAGTCTCTGCAGCGCCGGTTCGATCCCCGGCTGCTGGGAGAGGGTTCCACATGGCAGGCAGACCTCTCCTGCCGCCCGTTGTTCCCCTCAGCAGCATACTTCATCAGTCTGCCTGTTCTGCTCTCTGCTCTGGCTCTGGTGAATTCTTTTACCCTCCCATGTTTCTGACTGTACCCAGTGCTTGTATAAATAAATTTTTTTTAAAATGAAATAAAATAAAATAAACTGACATGGTAAAAAAAAGACTGAATAAACTTAAAAATATGTTTGTAATAATTTAAGTGATGATTATAAAATAGTATTTATCATACAATCCCATAGTTCATCATATATACATGAAAAACTTTAGAAAGTTACATGGAAAATGTGACGAGTATCTTAGTGCGAAGTTTATCAATTTTTTTTTAACTTGTTATTTCTAAATTTTCTAAATGAATCCATTACTCTTGTGATAAAAATTAAAATCTACATTATGTTTCCAGGGGCAAAGAATTAGGGAACATTTCATGGTATAATTAAGTTAAAACAGGCTATAAGACTATGTAATCAAAAATTGGGATTATGGTCTCACTTTTTTCGGAAGAAGGAAGGAAAGAAGGGACAAGAAAGGGAGATGGAAGGTTGGAGGGAGGCGAGTGGAAGGAGAAAGAAACTCCCAGAAATTTAACTCTAGGTGGAGAAATTGAGTGATTTGACTCTCTTCCTTAGATGTAGAGTTTCAATGTATTTTCACAATAAGCATGTATTACCCAGAACAAAAAATAGGTTAGCTCAGTAAAAGTTACTTTTGCCACTTTGTTGGGAACTATTTAATCCAAAAAATTGGTATGTCATACCCTAGTTATTAGCAAAAACCTCATGTCGGTAAGCTGGTATATCCCAGCTCACATAGTAGGGTGAAAATGAGTAGCTTCAGGCCTCCCTGGTGGCACAAGGGATTAAGACGCAACCTATGAAGCTGTCTGTAGCCACTGAAGCACGAGTTCCATCCCCGGCCAGGGAGCTACTTACATGGCGCAGCAGACCTCTCCTGTCTCACCCGCTGCTCCCCTCAGCAGTGTATTTCAGTAGGTTCACCTGTTCTCCTCCCCACTCTGTCTTGGGTGAATCTTCTTACCCCACCCCCACACCTCTGGCCTATATACCAGTTCTTGTATGCATAAATAAATCTTAAAAAAAAGAAGAAGAAAATGAATAGCTTCATAAAGTTGCTTTTGTCTTGAAACTAAATTTGGTCCTATGTGGTGATGTTAAGTATATCCCTACAATATATCCCTTTTCAGAATCTTGATGCTATGACTGTGTTCTGAGGCATTAAGAATGTGTAAGTGCTAAACAGAAGTTATTGTCCAGCTTTACTGCTGTATAAGTCCTGTCTTCCCCTCACTTACATGGTCACAAGATCCCTAAGACTTTCTAGAGGTGTGGACCAACTGGGAGTCCCCCCACCTATAAGAGACTTTGTAGCCTGGCAAAAACTCCCCAGCAAGCTTCACTAGCATAAAAGCTAAGCCCAGGAGGAAGGTCAGCTGGTTCCACATCCACCTCCTGGCAGCTGCCATCACTAGAGGGCAGACTGGTTCAAGGATCCCAAAGTCTGATAAGGGCACAGCCAAGGGGGCCTGTGACTATGTCCAGAATCCTCAAGGAGCACACTGCTGTCCACCCACACTTAACTAGCAATAAAGGCAGTCTGAATTGAAATGTTTCTTTTAAACTACACACAAAAAATAATTACCTTTTCTTTCAAAGCTTTCCTCTCTGACAAAGCAAACAAGAGCCAGGAATTTTGTCACCTCTTTTAAGTAAAGAACTGTTGTATTATTCAGCTTTATAATGGCTGTTGATTCCTTGTCATAGGGGGTTCCTGCTCCATCTTCTTTGAGACTAAATGGGAACAGAAACCAAAACATATTTGAGCATAGAGAATGAACCACAAATTATAACCTAGCAATGGAGACCAGCTTTAACCCAGAATAAAAATCACAATAATTAGTTTGCACTTACAGTGTCTTTCAGCAAAAGGCAGAAATAAACAATCCCAATGGGGCCTCCCTGGTGGTGCAGGGGTTAAAGCCTCAGCATTATCAAGCTATCACCAGCTGCTGCCATGAGTTAGATACCCAGTATAAGTTCAATGCCCGGCAGGGAAGCTAACCCACATGGTGCAGCTGACCTCTCCTGCCTGACCCCTCAGCAGTGTATCTCAGTAGATCTGCCTATTCTGCTCCCCACTCTATCTCTGGTGAATCCTCTCATCCCCTGCACCTTTGGCCTGCACCTCAGGTCTTGTATGCATAAATAAATAAAAATAAATCTTAAAAAAAAAGCACACAATCACAAGACTGCACAGTGTATGACAGCCTCTTTCCTACTGACACAATGAATGACTGTTGCAACAGCCAGATAACTCTCCTGGCACCTTGGGAAAACACAGGTAAGGGATGGAGGTTAGCTCTCTCCTCTCCATGCTCCAAGACAGGACTAAGGCTTCTTGTCTTCTCATGATAGAATAACCAGGCTGTCAAAAGCATGCTCTCATGAAAGAGCATGAGGAGAAGAACTGTTTCAAAGTAAAGAAGGCTGAAGAGCCATGAGAATTAAGCACACAACTAGATCCTAGGTCAGTGAGACAAAATGCTGCAAGAGAGAATTGGGACCACTGGGTAAAATGTGAACACAGACTACATATTACAGAGGGGTGGAGCCAAGCAACACTTGCTTAATTGATAATTAAACCACAGTTCTCCAGGAAAATGTCCTTGTTCTTAAAAGATCCTAGATCCTCAAGTAGCTAGGATCAAAGACTCATGCTGTCTGCCACTTACTGCAAATGGTTCAGCAAAAACAAACAACATGTATTAGAAAGAGAAAGGGCAAATATAGCAAACTGATAAAAATTGGTGAGTCCCAGCGAAAGATATATAGGATTCATTGTACTTTTCTTACACATTTTCTGTAGGCTTGATGTTTTTTCAAAATATAAAGTTAAATAAATATATTGTTCTAGGGCCTCCCTGATGGCGCAGGCGATTGAGCGCAGTGCTGTGGAGCTGTCCACAGCCTCTGCAGTGCGGGTTCGATCCCGGCCAGTTGGGGAGATACCCACATGGCGCAGCGGACCTCTCCTGTCTCACTCTGTCTCTGGTGAATCCTCTCATCCTCCTGCACATCTGGCCTGTACCCCAGTTCTTATATAAAATAAATCTTTAAAAAATATTTATATATATTGTTCTATTTATGAAAAGGTGTGACCTGTAGACACGGATAACTTGGGTTTGAATTCCAGCTCTGTTATTTACTATGTCAACACGGCCAAGTTGAGTCACTTCTTTAAGCATTAATTTCCTCAATTGTATATTAACAATAATTACTGCAAAGTTTCCTACTGCAATTATATATATAAGTATATATATACACTTATAGATATATACACATACTTATATATGTGTGTGTGTGTGTGTATATATATATATATATATATAGCACTGAACATAGTGCTGAGAACATGAAATACACAATGAATGTTAAGTGCTATTTCTATTATTATTACTATGGTCTTAATGACTGAAACTGGACCCCTAGTAGACACTAATGTAATCAGTGTTACATATCCTTTCCTTTCCTTCCAGGCAAAGGAGCACCTCCCTACACCTTTTACCCTTATCTAAAACTGTATGTATATATCTTCTGACTTATTTTCACTTCCCAAATTTATGAATAATTGACTATGAAATTTATGAAATTTGACTTAATTGGAATTGCCAGCTTTACTAATATGGCACAATAACTCAGATGGTGCTCAACTTTGTCACTTATATAGTAATAGCCAGTACTTGATATGTGATTTGCACTGCTCTTAATTCTTACCACGCACTATGCATTGTTTGGGCTAAGGATCCTCTACATCATGTATTGAGGAACTGAGACAGGGGAAAACAAGGCAATGTGGTCAAAGTTACTGATGGGGTAGAACCAGGGCTGCAAGCCTAGATTTGACTAATTTCTGAGTTGATGCTTTTAATCTTGTGGCTATCCCAGAGTATAGAGTACCAAACCTGAGGAAATGAAAAGTCTAAATTGTATTTTCAAGAAAATGTAGGTTTTTAGTTTTGAGAGAATTTTATCTGGCACAAACATGGCTACTTAAAATGAATTGTGGAAGTTAGTTTTTTTTTTTAAAGATTTATTTTTTATTTATACAAAAGCTGGGGTACAGGCCAGAGGTGCCGGAGGTTGAGAGCAGAGGATTCACCAGAGACAGAGTGGGGAGCAGAACAGGCAGTTTTACTGAAATACACTGCTGAGGGGAGCAGCGGGTGAGACAGGAGAGGTCTGCTGCGCTCAACCTGCTGCGCCACCGGGGAGGTCCTGGAAGTTAGTTTTTTAAAAAAGGATTCAGCTAACTACAACCCACCAAAACATTAAAAGAAAATCTTTAAGAAGAATTGGATCTAAGATGTTAGAGATGCTTTAACAAAATTCTTGACTTTCTTTGTACTATTTTTAGCTACTTTTTGGGAAGGACTTTCTCTTGCTTGTAATATTTTGAAACAGTTAAAATTTTTACCAGTGAAGAAAATGGTATTCAAAATCTCCAAGTAAATATAATACTGTATAGTAACTACTACTAAACATTGTTTATTACCAGCATTTATAACACACATGAAGTCCTAGGTGATAATGTTAAATGGAAAAAAAGGATATAAAATTATATACACAAAGTAATTAAAAAAATTACACACAGAAACAAGAATAAAGTACACACAAACATTAATACACACCTGACTGTCTCTAGGTGATGAGATATGGGTTACTTTAATTTCATTCTTAGTACTTTTATGTATTTTCTGCAGTGAGCATATATTTTCAAAATTAGAAAAAATAAACTTTAAACAAATTAGAAAAACAAAAGACAAAAATTACAAGGAGAAACTGGTCAGGTTTTACCACTGCAATCACTATATATTACTAAAGTTTCCATCCATCAAGCACTGAGAACACATGAAGAAGGAACATTTTTTTTTTTTGGTCAACCTTTTTTTTTTTTTTTTTTTTTAATATTCCCCATACAATTACAACTCCCTTACTTTCACCCCAATCCCTCCTTTCCCCGCCCCCCGCCCCCCACAAAGTGTCTCTGGTTCATAGTTGTTTGTCGATTTTGATATTTTCTTTCTTATAGTTATTCATTTTCCTGGTCCCTTATTTAAGTTTTCTAGATTCCTGCTATGAGTGAGACCATCCGGTATTTTTCTTTTTCTTTCTGGCTTATTTCGCTGAGCGTGATCCAAGAAGGAACAGATTTTGAAGTACAGGTGTGGGCTTGTATATAGCTGACCAGCTGCAGCAGAAGCTCAGCTGAGTGAGATTCCAGAACAGACTGATCTAGGCCCCAGGTGTACCAGCTCCTGTGGACTGCTGGTTTCCGTGGAGTAGCTGGGAACCCACAGCAAGATTGCAGTTACAGGGCGGCCTGTTTTCTGGACTGCTGTACACATCTCAGGCAGGCTAACTGGCCGCAGGCCATTCCAGTAAGCAATCTGAAGAACCCCCACAGTCCCTGCTACATTTCTGACCCAGGCTGGTTTTTACTGAACCCAGTGGGTTCTCAGAAACACTGCACTCCACTGCAGAAAAACAATCTGACCACAAGGCCCAGCTTCCAGTTCCTCATCCTCCCAACTCACATGTTTGTTTTAGTGGGGAATAAGTAATTTTGATTAATATAATTTACATGAACAACCTACCAGTTATGTTTAATTACCATATGGCACAATAATGATTATGCACATTGTTAAATATGTGCCATATTAATTGTGTTTTTCATTGTACTTGATTATGACAGTCATCTAGATTGTAATCAGAGTATATTCAGCTTCTGAAACTATTTCTAAATCATCCATCTATGATTTTAGAACAATAGACTATTGCAGGGCAGTAATCTGGGGTCTATTTATAAAGCCAGATGGCAGTGTTCAATAAACACAACAACAGGGCCTCCCCTGGTGGCGCAGTGGTTCAGCGCTGGGCTGCAGGGTTGCCCGCAGCCTCTGCAGCACCGGTTCTTTCCCCCGCTGCCGGCGAGGATCCCACAAAAAAAAAAAAATCCCACAACAACAACAGTATAATGGCTGCTCCGTCTATGCAGGGTCTACCAGGAGAAGCCTGATGACATTTTTATCTTCACTACATTTTATCTTCACTATGAGTAATACTTTCCCTACTTCACAACAGAGAGGACTATGTGTATGCCTGTGTATGTTGAGAGTTAACAGAATCTGAACTGAATGAGCAAAGGATTTTTTGCAGGTGAAAGAGAGAAATGGCAAGACACAGACTCTCCTAGAAGCTGATAGAGGTCACAGCCACACTATGAAGCAATCTGCAGCCTCTGCAGTACAAGTTTGATCCCCGGCCGGCCAGGGAGCAACCCATATGGCACAGCAGACCTCTCCTGTCTCACTTGCTGCTCCCCTCAGCAGTGTATTTCGTCGGTCTGCCTGTTCTGTTCCCCGCTCTGGCTCTGGTAAATTCTCTCACCCTCCCATGCTTCTGACTGTACCCAGTGCTTGTATAAATGAATAAATAAATCTTTAAAAAAAAAATCAGCAGTTTTTCTTGTAACAAAGATGATAAGAGAGCTGCTGTTGATATGAGATTTTTATTTAGAGTTTAAGGATCCTATGAGTCTCTCCTGAGTATTATAACATCATTATACAATGACAGAGGAACCAGAAATCAATTAGACTTGAGTTTAAATCCCAGTTCCATCTCTTATTGACAATGTGAGGAGGGGTGAGAAACCTAGCCACTCTGAGCCTCATAAAAGAGGTGTATGGTTTCAGGATATTTTACTTACCCATAAATACAAGAAATGTCAATAACCACATCTATCATATCACAGCAGAGCTCATAAGTTTGCATATCCACGGGGGTGCTATCGGTTGCAATATAAATTTTACTGACCACGTCAAACAGAAAAGCCTTTTCAATTCCAGAATTCTAAAACAAAAAGAAGATGCTGTCTTAAAGTGATGTTGAGTTCAGACCATATCATGGTTACATAAAATTTTATGCTATCTTCACTGGAATTTACTTTATGTAAAAAAACTGGGCGATGTTTCCTGACTCCTAGAGAGGTAATTGCAGTTAAAGAAAAGGTCAAGAAAGAAGACTAATTTTATTGACTTTAAATTTAAAAATCTAAACAAACTCAAAATTGTACAATGACAGTAAATGTGAGTATTTACAGGTCTGCTTCCCTTCTATATTGCAGAGCCTGCCCTGAGCTGGTGGTTTCTAGGATGCATTCCAATCAGCTTATCATTCACAGTGTTAAACATATAAAAAGCATTCAACAGAATTTATCTTATTGCCAAAACCAGCTTTTATGCTCCCTATCTCTAGTAGGCTCTCTTAACATCGAATGATCATTACAACTTGAATAAACACTCCCGTTATACTAGTGAGATACAGGAATCCATTTGGGGAGTAAATTTTGAAGGACCTAAAACTGTATGTAGGAGTAATTTTCAAAAGTAATAATTAAATGACCTTGAAATGCTGTAAGAACAAGCAGAAACAAGTCATTTAACTCTAACAACGTTATTCTCAAATTCTGCAAATGACTAACAAGATGACAGTATTTACTTACTGATATAAAGATGTTTAGCAAGTTCTCCAGGGTAGGGAGTTGAGGAATCAATTTCTGAACGACTTTGCTAAAAGCTTCAAATATTGAGTGATCATATATGCTTGTCAGATAAAAGCTGAAAGAGGAAAAAACATTTTATCACATTTTCACTTTGACTTAGGAGTAGACTGCTTAGGCTATGTCACAACACCAGGACTTGCTTTTGTTGTTAGAATCCTTGCACACACCTCCCAGCCCCTGTCAGAATTCAAAATGACCTCAGCAAAAAATGAACACATCTTAACAAGTCATTCCTCCCCAACTTACAAAAAAACCTAGAACTGTGCCCACTTTTTGTGCTCTGACTGGCTGGGAAGATGAAATACTCAGGGGTATGTGCCAGCACCAGCTTCCTCACTGGCTGCAGGGCACTGGCATCTCAGCATCTTTACACATGCCCCTCCTCCCACCAAGGTGAGTAAGGGTTGTACTATTGATATTGAAGTGCCTAATTTTTTCATTTTCCAATTTGCAGAATGAATGATGCATATGCTACTCCACAAAATATGAAAGATATGGTTCTGTGTTTCTATTTGAATTTTCCTCAAAATCCTTCCTTACTCACGGTTACAAAATTATCTTATTTAGGGCCTCCCCGGTGGCACAGCTGGTTGAGTGCAGCGCTGTGAAGCTGTCCTCAGCCTCTTTAGTGCAGGTTCGATTCCTGGCCGGCCAGGGAGATTCCCACATGGCGCAGCAGACCTCTCCTGTCGTGCTTGCTGCTCCCCTCAGCAGTAAATTTTAGTCGTCTGCCTGTTCTGCTCCCCGTTCTGTCTCTGGTGAACTTTCACCCACCTGCGCCTCTGGCCCGTACCCCAGCTCTTGTATAAAAATAAATTAATCTTTAAAAAAAAACTATCATATTTATTAAGAACTGTAAACTTGGTTAAGACGCAACCTATGAAGCTATCCGTAGCCACTGCAGCACGAGTTCAATCACGCTGGCTGGCCAGGTAGCAATCCACATGGTGCAGCAGACCTCTCCTGACTGGCCCACTGCTTCCCCTCAGCAGTGTATTTCAGCGGATCTGCCTGTTCTGTTCCCCACTCTGTCTTTGGTGAATCCTCTCACCCCCCACACCTCTGGCCTGTAGCCCAGTTCGTGTATGCATAAATAAATAAATCTTTAAAAAAAAAAAACAACTGTAAACTTCAGCATTGATTAACTTCCTGGATTACGTTCATAGGCTTTATTAGGTAGTTTTCACATGAGGGAAGAATCTTAGCTTTGACCACCTATTTAAAAAAATTTTAGGGACCCTGGTGGCGCAAGGGGTTAAGACACATCCTATGAAGCTATCCGCAGCCACTGCAGCATGAGTTCGATCCCCGGCCAGGGAGCTACCCACATGGTGCAGCAGACCTCTCCTGCCTCACCCTCTGCTCCCCTCAGTAGTGTATTTCCGTTGACCTGCCTGTTCTGTTCCCCACTCGGTCTCTGGTGAATCCTCTCACCCCCCACACCTCTGGCCTGTACCCCAGTTCTTGTATGCATAAATAAATAAATTTTTCAAAAAAATTTTTTTAAACAACATCATTGCTTTTCCCAAAGATTAGAACCATCACATGAAAACCTTGCTTTCCATTAATACTGTCCCAATGTCTAAAGAACAAAACAAAGTAAATCGGTAAATTACTGCCCATGCCAAACTACGTGTGACTTTGGACCCCGGACCTGCATTTTGCCACCAATTACTGTGATCCCTCATGGATTTCTGTTCTCACCTGAGGTGAATTTTTTCTAATCCAGCATCTGCAAGGTCATCGTTTGCTCTCTGATGAATATCTCTTTGGGTTTCAATTTTGTGGTCATCTGACAGACCATCCACTTTATGAATAAACACCTCAAAGTTGATGTCGGTGTTCACTTTGTAGGCCCGGGTCACCGTGAGGTGGAGCCGGGCAAGGGCTTCCATGTAATCATCCTAGGAACAAAGGCACGTTCCTGTTAGAGGAGCTGCACCCCTTCCTGAGCCCGTCAAAGGACTTACATATACACTCTTTCTTCCCCTGGCCTTATTAAGGTTATAATTGACAAGTAAACACTTGTTAAGTGTACAATGTGACATTTTGATGTACATAGACATTGTGAAATGATCCCCCTAGACAAGCTAATTAAACTTTTTTTTCACTTAATTTCAGTTACCATTTTTTTTCTTTCACATATACACTTAATCTGGAAGTTATGTGGGCACAACCCCCTCAAAATATTTCAGGAGTCCAAATTAAAGCTGTTTTTAAGTCAAATCTGAAATTTTAAGTTTTGTTAACAAAGAGGGAGGGATAAGGCTAGAAAAACACAATTGCAGGCAGTTGATTTACTTGAGGACAATCGTAGATATCAGAATTGTTGTTCTATGAATAAAATGACCTCACACCACCCAGGATGATAACCTAAGATGATTCCTTCAGGAAGACATGAGTCTCTTGGTGAACTGTGATGAATTAACATAGATGGAAATGTGATATGAGCCTTTGGGGTGATGGGAAAGGAGCCAGTAAGAAAAAATTTTAAAAGCAAGTTCCAAAGCAGAGGTAGCATCACGGCCTGTAGACCAAATTGGGTTCATTGCCTGTTCTTTGCAAGTCAAGTATTATTGGATGTGTGTTCACATATTGTTTATGGTTCTTTCATGGTATAATGGTAGAGTTGAGTGGTTTCTCCTGTGGGGACTCCTCCAACACTGTATAGCCTGCAATGCCTAAAATATTTACCATCTGAGGGCCTCCCTGGAGGCATAAGGGGTTAAGCATCAGCACTGTGAAGCTATCTGCAGCTACTGCAGCACGAGTTCCATCCCAGCCAGGGAGGTGACCCACATGGTGCAGCAGACCTTTCCTGTCTCACCTGCAGCTCCCCCTCAGAAGTGTATTTCAGTAGATCTGCTTTTTTTACTCCCCACGCTGTCCCTGGTGAATCCTCTCACTCCCAGCACTTCTGGCCTACACCCCAGTTCTTGTATAAATAAATAAATAAAAATAAATCTTAAAAAAAATTTACCACTGGCCCTTTACAGAAGTATTTGCTGACCCCTGCTCTAGAGTAATTATTCCAAACAACACAATACTATTTTTCTCTCCTTCCTACACAGATGATACTTATGTAATATAATGAATACTCACACGTGCTTCTGTTTTACAAAATCAAACATTAGACACTGAGGTCCTGTGTATCTCTTCCTCTCCTACTAGCCTATCCCACTTTAAACCCAATCTCCAGATGCAACTGTAATCCCAAGTTTAGAGTATAATCTCACTCATCTCTTTATAAACCACAATATAAATATACATTCCTAAACAATATACAAAATTAATTTTACACTTTTAAAATTTATAGAATATCAAGTTACATGCAAATTATAATTTACCTTTTTCAATCAACATTAAGTCAGTGAGATTTACCTATCCTGAAGTATGCAATTCTAGTGAATATCTCTTATTAAAGGCTCTACAAAATGTCTCTGTATAAATTTATCTGATCTCATCAATGGACATTCAGAATGTTTCCAACTATGTGCTCCAGACAACGATAAAATGTGAAGAGTCCCATGCACACACATCTCTGTGTCTGTCAGAGTTTTTCAGGGCTTACCCTGAAGGCAGACTTGCTGGGTCAGAGGACCAAGAAATTTGACTTTGACTGGGAAGAGTGTAAGAGCAGCCCGTGAACCAGCCCTCACCAACAACGTGTTGTCAAATCTCTTAATTACTGCCAACTTGAAAGGTATGAAAAGGTCTTTGTATAGCAAAAAAGTAAAGAGATCTGTGGGGAAAAAATGTAGCAATTTTTCACCCTCTATTCTGACTCCACATGTGGACAAGTCCAAAGTTAATAAAACAGGGAGAAAAATAGCAAATGGAGTCCTTTTCCTCCTTCACACTCTAAAGAGTTATTGAAAATGAAGATAAATATAAGGCATAGGGACAGCAGATTACATGTTCTGGAAAAATTCTAGATTAATAATTTGTAGCCCTTTTTATATCTTAAAATATCTCAAATAAAAGCTAAAGTTATCACTGTCTGCTTCCATGCACATGACATTTCAGAGAAGACAAACTCATCTACAGTGACTGAAAACACATCAGCCGTTACCTGGGACTGAGGTTTGGAGGAGTATCTGAGAAAGGACACAAAAAATCCTGTTGGAAATAAGTCTATCTCTTGATTGTGAGGTGGTTACCATGTATGTATATTTGTCAAAGTCACAGCACTGGACACGTAAGTGCATTTTATTGTATATAAATTACATCTCAAAAAAAGTACTGTTGCTTATGCTTAACTGAGGAGGGAATTAAGAGGCTATGTCTGTGAGCAAAACTAGCCAATATCAAAAGAGTATTACAATCTCAAAAGATCAGAAATTTCTGTTCTAACCTCCCTGCCAAGCATATGAAATGGTCTTATTACCAACCAATACCAAATTATATATAGTTGCAAAGACTAAAAATGACATTAAAAAAAGAAAAATACTCCCCAAACTTTTTTTTTTAATTGCCATCTCAACCACTTTTATTTTGATCTATTAAACCAAAGGAACTGTGAATGATTTTTTCTACTGTTTATCATCTTCTTTGACAAAAATAAAGGAAAAATATGCTGCGTGGTTTCCACTCCAAATTTAGATCTAGGAATTACAGGCGGGCCACAACCACCAAGGGCCAAGTGGACATTCTATTTTGGATCCCAAGGCACAAATGAAATGGTTTCAGGGGCCCACTAGCGGTCTGCAGGTGTTCTGAGAGTTCTGCTGGGGGCTGGCAATGTCACTGTTTAGCTGGGGGAATCTCTCTTGATTGTTTCATTCTCTTTTATTTTACAACCTTCTGTAAAGACTCATTTTCTCCTTGGTGATATATTTATCTGGTAATCCTGTGATTGTGAGGAATTCACAAGCAAAAGACTAAAATATTTAGTGTGAGACTAACAGAGCACTGCTTAGAAATAAAGGCAACGCTATTCAAGTACCAGCAAGACACTGCTCTATAGTTTGGTTTTCTCTTCAGTCCTTCTAATAAACACATCATGTGAAGACTCCCAAACTTTTTTTTTAATTGCCATCTCAACCACTTTTTTTTTTTTAGCTCTTTTTATTTTTCAGATTTATTTATTTATACAAGAACTGGGGTATAGGTCAGAGGCGCAGGAGGGTGAGAGAATTCACCAGAGATAGAGCGGAAAGCAAAGACACTGCTGAGGGGAGCAGCGAGCGAGGTAGGAGAGGTCTGCCTTGCCATGTGGGTTTCTCCCTGGCCGGCCGGGAATCGAACCCACGCTGCAGAGGCTGCAGACAGCTTCACAGCGTGGTGCTCAATCCATTGCGCCACTGGGGAAGACTTCCCAAACTTTTTACAGTCCAGTTCCAATAGAAAGTATACTAGAGGCCCTCACTGGTGGCACAGGGGTTGAAATCTCAGCACTATCAAGCTATTGCCAGCTACTGCTACATGAGTTTGATTCCCTGCCAGGGAGCAAACCCATATGGAGCTAACCCTCATGGCACAGACCTCTCCTGTCTCACCCACTGCTCCTCTCAGCAATATATGTCAGTAGATCTGCCTGTTCTGCTCCCCACTCTGTCTCTGGTGAATCCTCTCACTACCACCCCCTACCCCGCACCTCTGGCCTACATCCCAGTTCTTGTATGCATACATAAATAAAATAAATCATTAAAAAAAATAAAAGTATACTTGAAATGTCTTATTTATTCCTTATTTTTGGTAAATGACAGCTCTCAGCAATGTTTTCTTACACTTTTAAAAAAAGTTTAACTTAATAAGATGAATTTCTGGGGCCTCCCTGGTAGCCTATGGGTTAAGTCTCAGCACTATTACCATAATAGCCTGAGTTTCATCCCTGGCCAGGGAGCTAACCCACATATGACTCAGCAGACCTCTCCTGTCTTCTCTGCTTCTCCCTTTAGCAGTGTGTTTCAGTAAATTCGCCTCCTTTGCTCCCCACTCTGTCACTGGTGAATCCTCTCACCCCCCTGCACCTCTGGTGTACACCCAACTTCTACACAAAAACAATTAAAAAAATTAATTTCTCAGACATCCTTATACCTTTCTCTGCCCTACAACTAAAAAAAAAATTAACAAAATAAAGCAACACCAAACACATTTACCAACTGGAATTGAAGGTCCACTTTTCATGTTCAGGTAATATTAAAAGCAAATTATAGTTGCAATTTGAAAATAGGCAAGTGGACCTCTTTTAGCAACATGATACCCATATCACAACCACATGAGAAAGAATGACACTGGAAATTTTAATTGCATGAATGCAAATTGCTATGTAAGCAAAACATGATACTTAAGTATTTACTAAGTTACTGTCTTGAAATGATGAGTCATCTGGTTGGAATCTACTTACCCATAGTTAGGGAGGGCTACCATTATTGCTACCTAGCTCAACAATTACAGCAACAGCTGCTGCATGACTTAGGTAGAAAAACAGAGCATAAAAGGGACAAATGAATGTGACATCCTAGGGGCCTCTCCTTCCATGCAGCAGTGTGTAAACACCCCGGCCACTCCGCTTCAAGCTACCTAACTTATGGTGCTGGCAGGATCTGAGGCAGGAAGATGTGGGATACTGTCAAGGTCACATTTGGGTCAAAATAAGCAAGACAGCCAGAAAGCAGGAACTGGCAGTAGGGCCTGGACCTGATGCAGATGAAGATAAGAAACAGTTTTTAGATGGGTGCATGGGAGAAAGGATAGGCTGCTCACAAATCAGGCACTGGAATTAAAAGTCTCCACCCTCCACACTTCTCTCAAAAAAAGAAAGAACACCGCCTAACCATAGGGCCACACTCCCACAGCTATACTAGAACTACACAGAGCTGTCTCTTGGAACTAACAGGCTTAGTTGAAATTTTTATTATTATTTCAAATAAGTACCTAGTTCCTGAAGGATTATGTGATGCTCTCAAGCACAAGCAACCACTTAAAGAATGGCTTTCCAAGCATGAACTCAGACCACTAGTACTAGGCGTCTTTATTCCCCTCTTCCCTAACACAAGTGGTGCTCCCGGAAAGGCCGGGAGCGTTTGGGCCACCTGTCTGATTTAAGTCCACCGTTTCAGGGAGATGTTTCAACCTCAAATGAAAGTTGGTTTAGTGCGTTCCTGGAGAATTTGCTTCCTTGCGTTTGCCCACAGCTACAAGAGAGAGCCCGTGGGAGTCTTTGGGCTGGGCCATGCTTCAGGGGCATTTCAGAAGCATCTGGGTAGGGAAAATTTTGAAAAGCACCTACGTTCCAGTCCTGCTGCCAATGCCCCTTTCTAATAGTGACCTGCTGCCTCCTCCCCTTGAACCACAAAACCTGTATTTACGTGAACTAGGTTTCTATACAAACAAAATAAAAATAGAATTGATACTGAATCTTCTCTTATCCTAATACATATCTCTTCCCTAAATAGGAAAATATCCATCTCCTAAGAGATAGATTTATTTCAAATTTTACTTTTTATCTTTACTTATCTATAAAATACGCAAAAGTTATTTTGTCTTAACTGTGTACTAATAATAATTACAATAATTTGAGTCAGAGGAAAATGTTCACGTTTAGAATATGATCTTCACAGGAAATATTAAGCATTTTAAAATGTAAATTTATGCACATACTTTTGTTGAAGAGACCCTGTGATCTTTTATAAATGTGTGTCCCTGGCCTATATGATGGGTGGTCCCCTCCATCTGTGAGGTTTCCTAGGTCTATGATTTGTGGAGACAGCTCTCTGACTTTGGTGGATGACATGGAGGGAGCTGTTTTCACTTTGCAAAGTCTGAGAGACCAGTCTGAGACTGATTCTTTAGTAGAAAGCTTATTCCCGATTCTAAAAACCAAACCAAAGCCATCACAAAGAAATCTATTTGAACACAAGGAGAAAGGGTAGTCCAAGAGGGTGCTACACTCCTATCACGCCCCTCCCGGATGAGCTTTACCTGGGAGTCAATGACAAATATCAGTGCTCCTGTGCCCCGGAAGATCATCTCATAGTCAAATGTAGGATCAAAAAAGTCAATCTGTCCTGGGAAGTCCCAAATCTGAAAGTTCACGAAGGAGCTGTTGGAAACATCTTCCCGGCAGATCTTGTTTGTGCTCTCCAAGAACAGCGTTTCATTGGGAGACATTTTGTGAAAGACCACTTTCTGAATAGACGACTTGCCACTTCTTCTCAGGCCCATGAGCAAAATTCTTGGCTTCACCTCTGTGCTGAAGGGATCACTGAAGTCCAGAACTGGAGAAACCACAAAACAAGAATGAGGGGGAGATGCTTTCACAGTGGTTAATTAAAGGAGTTTCACTTCCACCTCAGAGGAGATTTACAATTCACAGACAAAACTACTTTTCCAAATGCAGAGTGCTAACTGTATCACCCCCTCACTGGGGGGCCAGCTTTTAGTTAAGCGCAAAACAGTGAAAAATGCTGTTTCAGGACCTCTCACACCTACCAGAGGATAGGAAAACCTGTATAATTCTGCATCATAAGCAGGGAGTGAAGGGCAGAGATTTCTTGGAGCACACTGTTAGGGGAGTCAGCACTCCAGACCCATGTCCTTCTTTGCCTAGCTCATCCTAGTCCCTAAGCACTTGAGAGTGCTTGCTTATTTAAGTTATGCCTGAAATAAACAATTTGGTAGTTCATCAAAATTAAAAAACTTTGGTGCTTCAAAGGACACTCTCTAGAAAGTGAAGACAATGCACAGAAAGGGAGAAAACATTTGCAAATCATATATTTGATAATGGTCTGGTATCTAGAAAATATAAAAAACTCTCACAATCAACAATAAAGAGGCAAACCAATTTAAAAAATGAGCAAAGGATCTAAAATAAAAAAATTTCTCCAAAGATATACAAATGACCAATAAACACGTGAAAAGGTGTTCGTCATTAACCACCAACGAAATAATCAAAACCACAATGAGATGCCACTTCCCATCCACTAGATGGTTATAATAAAAATGAAAGACAATAACCAGTGCTGATGAGGATGTAGAGAAATTAGAACTCTCCGGTACTACTCATGAGAATGTGAAATGGGTGTGCTTTGTGAAACAGTTTGGCTATTCCTGAAGAAGTTGAACAGTGTGTCACCCTAAGATCCAGCAAGCCCACTCACTCCTGTACTCAAAGGACTAAGAAGATCTGTCCAAGAGAAAATTGTACATGAATATTTACAGCAGCATTATTCCCAATAACCAAAAGGTGGAGACAATCGATGACCATCAACTGATAAATGAATGAACAAAATGAAAGACATTCATACATTGGGATATTATTCAGCCACAAAAAGGAATGAAGTCCCAATTCATTCCACAATATGGATGCACATGGAAAACATCTTGCAAAGTGAAAGGAGCCAGACACAAAAAGTTATAAATCGCTTGATTCCATTGATATGACGTGTCCAGAATAGAGAAATCCAAAGAAATAGAAACTTTGTGGCAGCCAAGGGATAGAGTGAAGGGGAAATGAGAAATGACTGGTAATGGAGAGACTGTTAATGGTTTCTTTGGAGTGAAGAAAATGTTCTGGAATTAAATCATGGTGATGACTACACACCTTTATGAATATAATAAAACCACTAATTTATACTTTAACAGGGCAAATACTATGGTATGTGAACATATCTCAATTAATAAAAAAGCTTTATGACTCACTAAGTAAATAAATAAGACCAGGTATGAAAATTGGAGGAAAAACCCAACATTTTAAAGAAAAAGGCAGAAGAATAAAGGCAAATACAGAGCTATACACATAATTAATTACTTTCTAAATTTCTTTTTTTGTATCCGTATGAATTATATCTGAGTGTGTCTTTCTCAATCCCGGATCCCAGTCCAAGCACAATCCAACAGAGACTGAAAACAGTCCTTTTATTTCTTTATTGTAACAAGCATTTTTTCCTCAAAACTCCACAATTGTCTATAGTCATGTTAATACTTGATAACGACTTGGTAAATTTTATGTACTGTATATAAAATATTTTGATATTTGAATTTGCATTATAGGTAAGCACACAAACCAGGTAAAACAATAATTGAAGAAAGAAAAAAACGCGCACGTGCAGATACGTACAGATACCACTCCACTATAAGGACATTGCACCCCCACTCTACACACACACACACACACACACACACACACACACACATCCTGTTCATCTTAACCCAATTCAATAAATTGCTGATGATATACTATAGAAGCGGTAATGTGGAAATAAACCAGCCATAATATGATCAGATTTCCTCTTTATCAGTGATTATAAGCTACCCACTCTCAGTACTGCCATTACAAGTCAATCTCAGCAAAAGCAGGGCATGAACTGAGAAAGACAGGATGTCCAGTTTCAAAAATACCAAGCTGATAACATGTCACAGTCTTCCCCTCCCATACTAATCCCTAAAAATAATACAAATCTGAATACTAACTAAACAAATGAACAAATAAACATAATTGATTTTGAAACAAAAAAAAATAATTCAAAGGCTACAAATAATCAAGAAATCCCTAAGAAAAGCAAAGATCATATGAAGAGAAAATCTGCACCTTAACAATGAATGGTAGAGCTCTGCTGCAAAAAGCAGAACTAGTAAAAACTGAAGTAGGATGAGACAGGAAGACAACCAACAGGGTTGTTACTTGCAGAAGCTGAGAAAGAATACCTAAGCATGTAAACTCTGTGCACTACTGCCTACCCCTCCAATACACACACACACACACACACACACTCCAGGAGGCAGATAATACAGGGACTCATGTATGAAAGGGAAGGCCATCCCAGTCCCTCAGGGGCTAGTAGTGCCTAGAAGGTGAAGAGAGCATGCTGCTACCCTCGAAGTACTCTGTCCCTTCCTAACTCTCACTACAACATAAGTTCAAGAGGTGAAGCAACCCCCTTCAAATTTCCTGGCTTATAGAAGAAGCTAAAAGGCAGAAGTACAGGAGTTATCTTCACCCCTGGCTATCTTTCTAGCCCGAATGGTACGAAAGCATTGGCAATGGAGAAGTTTTGCAAATTTGTATGTCATGCTCCTATAAGGTTTGATTACTTGAGCTGGAAATTCAGATTTTCTTCCTGTAACTGATGACTTAGCTGTAGGACCATAGATACTAGGTGGATCTAGCCTGGGTGGATGACTTATGCTTCATGCAGCAATTGTACAAGAGATGGCTGCTCTTATCAGTACAGCTATAGCTGCAGATGGCCGGGTGACACACTTCAACCAGCTTCCTGTTGAGGTGAAAAGGAAATAGAAATGAAAGGTGTGTGGACCTTACCACCAAAATACAATGAAGAAGCAGTTTACCAGATTCTGTGTAGTTTCATTACAGAAGCTGAACACCACTGCTTGTTACATATATCCCTATTCCTGTGATCTGTGCTATAAGATTGCTCTATGGCATGAAGGATGATGTCATACTTTGGCATACATCCATGAGTTGCTGACCAAGTAATCAGCACAGATGTAGATGCCATCCGCAGAAAACACAGTGATCATAGAGTGAAGGGAAAAGCAGACATTCATCTTGTTTGCACAATTGATGACTTAATTCATAAGCTTTCAGCTATGGTTAACTAGAATCCCAATTTTCTTTGGTATGTAGACTAGTGGATGCAGGTGCTTCAACTTGAAGGATAACAGATCTAAGACCCTAATACTTAGAAAGTTTATTTTTGGGCCTCCCTGGTGGTGCAAGGGGTTAGGCACCACCCTATGAAGCAATCTGCAGCCTCTACAGCATCCCTGGCCCCCAGGCCGGCCAGAGAGAAACCCACATGGCACAGCAGACCTCTCCTATCTCGCCCACTGCTCCCCTCAGCAGGGTATTTCAGTAGATCTGCCTGTTCTGTTCCCCACTCTGTCTCTGGTGAATCCTCTCCCCCACTGCATCTCTGGCCTGTACCCCAGCTCTTGTATGCATAAATAAATCTTAAAAAAAAAAGTTTTTTCCTTTTAGTTCTGTTTTGTAAATATCACACGACTGTTTATTTAATGATTTAGCTGCATAATGCTACATGTGGTAAAGAAAGATCAGCTGATGTTTGGAAAATTTCCTCCTTCCTTCAAACCTTGTGTGTGTTTTTTTTTAATATAAAGTTTTCCTATTTTTTCATTCAAGATGTTTACCTTAGAATGCTTATGTTAACTGTACCAGACTGTAATGGTGTTCTCTTCTACTTAGAATTACTAATACAGGGCCTCCCTGGTGGTACAGGGGTTAAAGTCATCAGGCTCAGGATATCTATCGCCAGCCACTGCAGCTGGAGTTCAATCCACGGCCAGGGAGCTGACCCACATGATGTAGCAGACTCTCCTGTAGTGGCTGCTGTTCCCTTCAGCAGTGTATTTCAGTTGATCCGCTTGTTCTGCTCCCCACTCTGTCTCTGGTGAATCCTCTCATCCCCTGCACCTCTGGCCTACAGTCCAGCTCATATGTGCATAAACAAATAAAATGAATCTTTAAAAAATGAAATGTAGATGAGTCATGAAAGATACAGGTATAGGAGGAATAAGAGACAACTTCTCTGTATTTAATTTACAAAGCTCGGACCCTTAAGTTAAATTTCAAAGGTGCATTGGAGATCTTTCAAAATCTTTCAACATATTAAATATTGCATATGGAATGATTTCAACTCTATATTTTATCTTTAAATAGTTGTCTTAAGGTTTCTGATTTTTCAACACAATAAATATTTTGGAAAATGATGCCAAAATAATTGCTTGGTAAACATTGGCTGGACAGGAAAATACGTAAAACAAGGCTCCCAACATGGAGAAATTAAAAATCTACTTAGATAGTGTGGTATTGACTCAAAGATAGACTAGAGAAAAGGATGCCCCCCTCACATTGCTTGTGAAAAATCCATGGACAACTAATTTTTGAGCAAAAGTGCAACGCCAACTTCATGGAGAAAGGATAGTCATTTTCTTTTCTTTTTTTAAAACATTTATATTTATTTATGCATACAAGAGCTGGGGTGTAGGCCAGAGGAGCAGGGTTGTGAGGATCCACCCGAGACAGAGTGGGGAGCAAAACACTGTTAAGGGGAGCAGTGGGAAAGATAGGAGAGGTCTGCTGGGCCATGTGGATTGCTCCCTAGCTGGGGATCGAACTCGTGCTGCAGTGACTGCAGCTAGCTTCATACTGCTGCAACTTAGACTTAACCCCTTATGCCCCTAGGGAGGGCCCCAAAAGTATAGTTATTTTCACCAGAGTGCTAGAATGACTATA